ATATATAGAACCCGAGCCAATCAATACGTATGTTTTGTGTTGCAGATCTGATAGCACGGTGATAGAGAACAAGGAAAGCCGTAGTAGAATAAAAGATTAATGATAAAAATGAACCTAAAGAAAGTTGAACATGTTAAATGGTATGATTAGAATTAATTATCAATCGACAATCCGATTTATTTACAGTATCCCAACAAGAAAAGTATAGGTGCAATTAATACAAATAGTAGGTTTGAAGCTAAACCTTCTCCTTGTTCTTCAGTAAACGACCAGAAAGATGTTTCCAGAAATACTTGAATTTTTTTATAAGCTCCGCCCATTAGTGAATGTACGCTTCTTGATCAATACTTTTTGAATATTCAATCGATAGTTGTTTGGTGACGGTGTTTTGAGGCAGAGAAGAGCTAAAAGTAGCTTTTCTTACTTATCAAATTTACGCAGTAATCTGTGTAGAAGTAATTGAAAATTCTATAAACTAATAATTCTATAACTAACCGTCTTTGGTAGCGTACACGACTGTAGTATCCGTCACGAACCGACGTGAATATTGCTCCGATCAGTTGACTCCACGCCAACAGGGTCTCGCATCTTAATAAAAATAAGTTACGGTAGCTGAGATTTTGGTAGAGCTTAGTGGCGAGAAAAGGCTTTGTATATGAGTGTGAAGAAGATAAGATATATAGGAAATAACAGTGAACCATTAGGAGACTGAATTTACAGAGGTTAACTTAGGTGCATTTCCACTGTAACTGACGTGAATTAAAATGCTTGATCATCTTAGGAATAAACAAAGGCCTGTATATGACGCACATTTGCAGAAAGCAAACGAACTTCTCACCTTTTATGCGCTCCTCCGTCAAGTTTGACACATTCTGCAATGGCTGCATCCGCTAATGCGGCAAAGAAATCCGGTCGAAAACCCAAGTGACATAATCCGGCATAAGTTTCACCAAATGCGCGTGCATGCTGTTGAACCTGCATTTCCCCATATTCATTTTCCAATTACCGTAATCAGAAAAGCGAACTTACCAACTCGGCTCGATCAATTTTCTCGACGGATTCCGCTATGAGGGAGTAGAACTGCTTGCCCATATGCTCTAGTTGTTGGTCATTTAGTCGACCCAAGAATGCGCGCAACTCAGCCCGATTATTCGCAGCGCGCTTAAGAATCGCGTCACCCATTGTAGGCCTAAGAAATACCTGACTTGAAGTATACATTTGGTATTTTTGCCGGTCAAACTAAGTTAACTTCATAAAAACGAGTAATTGGGCCTCTTATATATTATAAAGCGCTTTTTTGAGATCCATTAAAAAACGATAAAGAAAAATTCTATGTTACGTACATAGTGTGGTTTTGAAAGAAATTGTGTTGCAAAATTTCTAATCATGAAGTACTGTGCTAGAACGTAAAATAAAATGGGCTTTGAAAAAAGGATGAGCACCAAAATGGGGCTATTTATATGAAATGAGTACCAAGGAGAAACCATATTAGGTGATTGGTGCTAAAAAAAAAGAGGAAATCTATCAATTTCACAAGATTTTTAAAAAAAACATAAAAGAAGAGGAGAGATGTGTTAATGTAAGCGAATGAGCTACAAAGAATGAATAATTTAACAAGAATAAGAATTCTGCGACCATATTTGAGCGATAATGGGCGACAAGAAAAGGAAGTGGGTTACTTTGAGAAAAAAA